TGCAGCACCCCCTACTGTCACGGTGCCGTTAAATCTCTGCTGACCTGGAACTTCACGTTAAATGAGAGGGGCTTTGCCAGAGCCACACACACCTCTTTAACAAAACACTTTTTTTGACTCTACTGTTCTGCTATCTAACCTACAAGTGTTAAATACGTTTGAGAGATGTGTTCATTGCAGCTGGGCATTTATTAATACATGATTCCACAAGGAGAAATGTACCAAGCAACGTAGCTTGAAGATTTTTTTTAGCTGCTGAAGTGCCTGCTGTAGCATATTTCAATATGATGATTAAAATTGACTTAGTGTTAAAATGTCCTAGATGCTTCCTTTACACATAGATAGGCCTTACCTCACTCTATTATTTTTTTTTAATTATTGACTTGCTTATATTTCACACAAGTGAAAGCTATGGTTGTCTAAGTAAGTACTTGTTTCTTAAAGTAGTAAGTCCTGTAAAATTCTAAAGTGAATTTCAGCATACTTTGAAAAAAAATCAGGACAGCTGATCTTCATTCTAAGGCATGGTTCAGAAGTTATCTTCTGAGCCTTCCACTGACTTTCTGTGTCTTCAGAAAGTCATACAGGCCAAAATTATTACAAGATGCAACTGAATGTTTTTTATTTGTTCTCAAGCTCTGTATATCAGTCCCTTCTTTTTCTTTATAGTTCATGTTAGAGAGTCACATAAATGTAACTTGGAATGTTTTTATGACATTAAGGAACAAAATATTTGATGTGTTTACATATAGTAGTCAAATTAAAAGCCTCCAAAACTTTGAGTAGGTATGACTTTGTAATTAAAAAAGATTGAAAATTTGAAATGAAGTAATGTTTGTGATACCCAGGAATCAAACAAGCTAAAAATATACTTGAAAATATTTTAATTCAAGCATCACATTATCTTCATTTTTAGATAATTCAAAGGTACCCATATAGGTGTTTTCCTTTTTTTTTTTTTCTCCAAATAAATTTATTGTCTTAAAGACCATGAAAAAGCTGCAAAAAAAACCCAAACCCAAGACTAACTACAAAAATTACATGAGCTTGCAACAGAAGTTTAGGAAAAAAATGTTGGGTTTAAGATATTTTAAGTTATTATTGTAGCAGGGATCAAAGAAAACCAAAAAACATTTAATCTTTTTATCAAGAAGAAGTTGCCATGCTTGTTGCATTGTACTGCATCAAAAAGGATCCTACTTTGTAGATCATTAACTCAGGACGTACACACTAAATTTTACCATGTTTGTTTACTGCAGTAGCTTCAGTAACTTGCGTTACATAAATCACTGCAGAAAATTCAAGTTGCTTTCCATTTCTAAAATGAAGGTCCATTAACAAATGGTAAAATACAGTTGGTTGTTAACAATATAAAAAATAAACTGTAAAAAATTTGTAACTGCTACTACTACTAAAAAATAACACTTCAGCCTAGAATACAGATGCTAACTTTAAGCAATGACCTGTATTTTGTAATGTAATATCCTTACTGTGTTTACTTGCTTATTTATACATTTCAGCAATAAGCATCATGTATTCTGGTGGTTAGTATAAAAGAGAGTATTCTAGGTTAATAATGCAATAAACTGTGCAGTATACAATTGTCGTGGTTTAACCCCAGCCAGAAACTAAGCACCATGCAGCCCCTCACTCACTAACCCCCACCCAGTGGGATGGGGGAGAGAATTGGGGAAAAAAAACCCAGTAAAACTCATGGGTTGAGATAAGAACAGTTTAATAGGACAGAAAGGCAGAAAATAATAACAACAACAACAATAACAATAAAAGGATTGGAATATACAAAACGAGTGATACACAATGCAATTGCTCACCACCCACCGACCGATGCCCAGTTAGTCCCTGAGTGGCGATCCCCCCCAGGCCAACTCCCCCCCAGTTTATAGACTACGCATGATGTCACACAGTATGGAATATCCCTTTGGCCAGTTTGGGTCAGCTGCCCTGGCTGTGTGCCCTCCCAATTTCTTGTGCCCCTCCAGCCTTCTTGCTGGCTGGGCATGAGAAGCTGAAAAATCCTTGACTTAGCCTAAACACTACCTGGCAACAACTGAAAACATCACTGTGTTATCAACATTCTTCTCACACTAAATCCGAAACATAACACTATACCAGCTGCTAAAAGAAAACTAACTGTATCCCAGCCAAAATGAGGACAACAATTTCTACTGTAGTAAAAGCAATCAGAGGAATAATAAGGAAGAAATAGGACAGAATAGTAAGGGTTTGAGAAGATAAAAAGGAAAGACAAATGCTGTATTTCTTGCTTCTGTGGGAAATGCTAAAAATGCTAGATGGACACAACAGAAACTTTTATCTATTGTCACCCCTTATGTAAATAATCTTGAACCTCAGAGTTCAAGTGGTTCAGGCTTTGACAGATAACCTTGCCATCTTTCATATCCCTCTCTTCCCAAATACTTGGTAGACACAGACCACTGGGTGGAGGTTGCCTGTGCTTTGAATTTTCCCCTCCAGACTGGCTTGGTAAAAACTCTGTTGACAAGACATTGTAAAAAAATTTCTCACTCACCTACCCAAGAAGGAGATGTGAAGAGGTAATAAGAAAATGATTCAAGGCAGTGAGAAAGGTGAGCAAGGATATAGCTTCATTACTGCAAGCTGCATTAACTAGTGACCTCAGTCAAGAGTTAGTTTCAGTACCTTACACCAGCTGCTCCTGTCATTTAGCAGAAGTGTCCTTGAATACCTTTGTCTTGGCTCCATGAACTCTTTCCTTCCTTTTTCTGGAACTTCTTCTCTTCTTTAACCTCTACAACACTGCAGGAGATGACAGATAGCAGCTTTTTAATACAAAAGCTGGCTTCCACAAAGTACGTAGACACCTGTCTTCAGAGGCAAGTAGCAAATTTCACATGCAAAGATGCTTCTAGCATAAGGCAAACCTGGAGAACAGCAAATGTTATGGTGTATTCCTGACTCAATTTCCTCAGCTGGACAGCTTCAGACAACTACCTTCCCAGGCTGTGTCTACATGAACAGTTTTTAGTTCACTTAAGGAGTGAAGTTTTGAGGTAAATCTCCCAATTGTCCTCACTTACTGCGCCTGCCTTGATTCACAGAGAGGTTTCAAAGCACATGAACTGAGTTTTGGATGAAACTAACTGGAAGACATGATCTAGGAGTGCACCTAATGTGCTCCAACCACTTACTAGGGGGTATTCCATCTAGCCCAAAGCATAAACCCTCAAAAATGCTTATTCGGTCTTGAATCCAACCATTTAAGTCTATAAATCCAACAGTATTGGTCCGCATTACTTCCTAATGCTAACACTCCCTCAGTGTACTGATTTATTCAGTCTCTCAGACTTAGGGATGTCCTGAACCCCATTCCAAACTGCCTCTTCGCCTCAGTGCAAAAAAAGAGCTTATTTACTTACTGAAGGGTTATGGATCTTAATCTCAAAGGCACCTAGAATTAATATCTCAATTCTGAGCACTGCAGTATTTAAATCCCTTCCTGCAACTAGTAAATATGCTTAGTATATAACACCCTTACCAGTGTTCAGGCACCTGACTCAGTCAGCTGGAGTTGCTTGTTACCTGTGAGAGTGTATATTACCTATGACATCAGCTTTTCATACAGATTCTGAACCCATCTACCCATCTTTAGAATCTTGTAGAGTGTGTAAAACTAGTTAGAATATGCATAGTAAAATCCATGCTGCATATCTAAAATTAAACTTTTAAAACATTAAAATGAGATGAATATATTTACTTATACATCATCACAACAAGGGCTGTTTTGATGATAAATCAACTGAGGAATACAGAGATACTATGTATACACAAACCATACAAATAATAGATAAATAATATATGAACAGAAAATGGACTGCTCAGTAATTAAACTCCCACACCATATGCAGAAACATGACCTGTGGAACAGAGCCCTATATAAAAAGGAACACAAAATGCAGACTTGAGTGCTGATATTTAAAAGCCCTTCAGCCATACAATACAGTGGTATTGCGTACTTGAAACTAGAACAGGAAGAACATACAAAAATCTTCATGAAATACTAAAGTAACTTAAAGTTATAAATTATGCTTATGCCTTTCACTCAACTACCCTTGAAGTACAGGGAAAAAACCCACCGATTTTGGAGTGTAAAATCAGTAGCCTGTGCACTAAGTCAAAGCTGCTTCATGCCTCCATTCGGTAAACACCTGGAGTCATCCCAGTATAAAGCCTATACCACATTACAATCAGCTTCTTTTTAATCAGTTGATATATATGCAAAAAGTAACTCTTACATGGCTAGCTTCCTATTGAAGTATTTCTTTGGTATTAAGTACAAAATCAATACTCTCAACTGTCGGAAACAAAACAAGCAATTAAGAACCAAACATACCAAGGCAATAATGGTGCTAAAAATATTTGGGACACCTTACTTTGAATTGTTATGCAAAATAAAATGTTATCCAAAATCCAGCTTCCAGAAAAGTGCTTTATGTTTTGATAATTCTGTTAAAATTTCATACCAAAAGAAGTCATTTGTAGATAAATCAAAATAGCTATTCGTCTTATTTTAATAAAGCCCTAAATAGCACTGCTTTACAACACTGACGCAGCAATATTCAAAGTGTGTATTTTACGCACTGCAGATAGTTTACAAAATCAATGCCTTTGGTTTAACACACGGCATTTGTAAGCACATTTTCCGTAACTATCAACACAGTACACATCGCTACGGCATCTCAACTTAAGAATGGTATTAGAAGCTCACAGTCACATGAAGATCAATTTTAAAAGCCTAGTTATGCCAGCAGATTGTTTTCTTTCGCACCTACAAGTCTAGAAGTTCTTGGAAAGAGAGCAGAAAACCGCGACTGCCGCGCGCGCTCCGCAGCCGGGGTGGGGGGAGCGGGGCCCACGCGCGGGGCCCCGCCGCGCCCCCGATCCCGGTCCACCTCCGAGGCAGGAGTTTAGGAGTCCCTGACGGGCAAAAATACACCGAAGCGGGTCACGGGGGCTTTTCTGCTGGCAGGGAAAAGACGGAGGAGGCTGGAGACAGCCCAGGAGACTCGGTACGAAAAACCAAACTGGTTCAGCCTCAGGCGAGCTCCTTCCTCACGGCCCGGCCCCCCCCTCCCCGTGCGCTGCCTGGCGGGGGAGGGTCAAAGGCCCCTGCCCGCCCCGGGTTTTGTGGGACGAGCCGTAAATGGAACAAATGAACTCCCTTCGGCCGGAGGGAGGGCCAACGACCACGGCCAGACCCCACAGCGCGGTGGGCCGCTCGCCCCCCCGCCTCACGGCCCCCGCGGGGCTCCGCCTGAGCCTGCACAGCCGCGGGAGCAGGCGCGCCGCGCAGGACCAGGGCGGCCGTCGCGGTGCGCGGGGACGGACCGTCCCGGG